AGGCTATCAACCGGTACGAAGCAACTAGCACGAACAATCCGAGAAGACCAATGAACACAAAGCTCGAGTACAATCTCCTTGTTCTTTCGTACCGTACGAAGCAACTAGCACGAACAAGCCGAGAAGACCAATGAACACAAGGCTCGGGTAAAATCTCCTTGTTCTTTCGTACAAGCACTGATAAAAAAAATTATTTAATCAACAGACAGATAAATGATTAATTATAACCTATAGGGCTATCAATTGTATGAAGCAACTAACACGAACAAGCCGAGAAGACCAATGAACACAAAGCTCGGGTACAATCTCCTTGTTCTTTCGTACAAGCGCAAATAGGCTAGAATTAAATCAACAAACAAAGAAACGGGATTTAAAACTAATCCGGACAGAAATATTCCCAATTTCGGACAACAAGTATCCAAACAAATATTCTTAACCGGAGAGTTTATCTACGAATCAATCAACAGAAAAAATCAAAATAAAAAATCCAACACGTGATTAAATCTAAACCGGAAGAAATATTCACAATTTTGGACAACAAGTATCCAAACAAAATATTCTTCACCCGAAAAAATTAATCACAAACCAACAAGTAATCACAATTTAAACAAACAAGTAATTGCAATTTAAACTTGAACTTAAAAAGAATGAACTACGAATAAATAATCACACAAAGGATTAGTAAACGTACCTGGGGCCGGGCACAGCCGACATCCAAGACCACGCAGGTCAACAGCGGGGGAGCGGGGGGAAATAAATCCGGTGGCACTCCGGTACACCAAGGGTGGTTATCGCCAATTTACCTGAGTGGGGCCCAAGGTTGGGTTACCCGACTTACCGTAGGCAGCGTGGGCTGCTGTAGAGCACGGCGGCAGCGGACTGGACGGCGACAGCACTCCCTGGAAAGGCGGCAGCAGCAGGACCGAGGCTGGCAGCAGCTTTCCTGAGGCGGAAGAAGCTCTGGACGGCGCTTGAACTCTTTTGGACTGGTGGCAGGCGACTCCAGACGGCGGCGAGGCGACGGCACGCGACGGCGTGGCAGCGACAGACCTCCAATGGCTCTGATACCACTGTAAGGAGAAGAATCCAGCTCAGGTCTCAACCACTTTCATCCACAAAGGATGAATTTCACACACTAGGATCAACAAGGGGAGAGAGGGGCGTCAGCCAGCAGACTATTTCCGGCCAGTTCAACCGAGCACCCACAGAGAGGCGGAAATCAGAGAAGCAAGGGTTTCGGCCAGTCCTAATTGCAGCGAACAAGAGAGATTAAATAGGCTAAGCTCAAAACTCAAAAATGGTAACTTACCATACAGGTTGAAACCGAAGGCTCACACGAAGCAGAAGAGAATGACGCACAAGGAAAGCGGTGCGGAAGAAAGAATAAAGACATGGGCCAAGGATAATCTAAAATGAACTGGGCTTAGGGAAAGAACCCGGCCAATACCTAACATAGCCAAAATAACATCCACAATCTCCCAACAATTTTGAAAAGCTGACCATTAAAACTGTCTGGACCTAGAGCAGCTTTACTATTAAGGAGGCAGACTACATCATTAACTTCATCACCTTTAGGTAAGGCTGACAGAAAATCATTATCACCCTGACTTATTAACTATGGAATAAGTTGCAGAATGTTGGAGGGCTTAATCTCAAGGGCCGAGTAAAGATCAGAGAAGAACTGGAAAGCAGTCTGCCCTATGCTACCCAGATCATAACAAAAGAGCCCCTCAGAGGTTTTAATAGTGGCAATCTATTGCATTATATTCCTGATTTTGACAAAGGAATGGAAAAAAAGAGGTATTGGCTTCACCATCTTTAAGCCATTTATTATGGGACCTTTGCTTTAAAAAACATCTTTCTTGCTTGAGTTTAAGTGACAACCGGGCCTCTTTCTTACTCCAATCGCTTCTATTCTCTTAAGTAGGGTCTGCATCAATCAAGAGTTTCTTTTTCATAGATTTTTTATGAGTCAGTTATGTTCCCAAAGAAAAAAGTATTCTACTCTTTAAGATTCTTCTTTAAACACTGCATCGTAATAAAAAGGTCTCGCATGCCACCCCCAAAGGAATGTGAAGCTCAAATCTTCTTCACAACATCTGTAGAAGTTGGATCTTTCAGGCACATGTTTTGAAATTTGAAGGGTTTAGGGCCAACTGACATAACGTTTTTTGCATTGCAGGACAAAAAGAGAGTGTTGATATGATAATAAAGGTCCAGAAAAGAGGAACTAAAAAGAATTCTGTCAGTTCTTCTCCATTCTTTCAGAATTCCTAATTCCAGACCAAGTAAAAGGACTACCCTGGAAAGGTAAGTCAATAAGGCCACAAGCTAATATGCAATCATTAAATTCATCCATATTGGTAAGTAGAGGGGTAGATGAACCTTCGTGTTCTGCAAAAGTAGAAATAACATTGAAATCTCTACCGATGAACCAATGAAAGGAATTAGAAACAGTCCAATTCTTAAGAAAAGACCATAAAGATCTTCTTTCAATATAAGCATCCTTGCCCTAAATTATTGTAAACCAAGATACTTTATCACCAAAAGGGATTTTCATATGGGTAAACTGATCACCTGCCTGAAAACAGAGAGCTGTAGACAAGATGTATCCCAAAACATCCAAACTTTGTCGGTGTTTTTGGCAAAACAAACACAATCTATCATTACTCGAGCAAAATTTTCGCCATCTGACTTACAATACAATCTCATGAATAAAATCAAAACGGTTATCCTGGTCTTATAATAACATGCCTCGCCTAGCTAACAAATGGGCAACGCGGTTGACAGACCTTCTACAATAAGAGAGACTAAACCTTCTATGTGATTTCGATAAACCTCTAATATCCTCCAACAATAAATCAAAATAAGAGCAAACATGTACACCGCTGTCGCCATTGGATAATTGAGTGGGATGCAGATTCTCTGAAAATATTTCCTGGCCTTGGTAAAATGTATTTTTAATTACTTTATGCTACTTTATATGTAAATGTTGTGTGGAGTACACTTTCAAAAAAATTAACTTGAATATATAATTATCTAAGTTTATAAATGTATTTTATATATTTTAGATATTGTATACAAGTTTCTATAATTTAGAAAACTGAGAATAATAAAGTAAAAAATCACATTTGGGATTGTAAAAAAAATCATGACAATATAATTGACTTGTAATATAAAAGTTTGATTCCAATAGGGATCTTTGATGAATGATCTATCAATAATTTTTTCGTTTTGAATTGTGTTTGATAATTTGACTATGCTAAACAGTTGTTTTTAATGTTCGGTTCGATTTGATTGTTTGATGCAAGACAATTGATAGTGAAAAGGCAAATTTGAGTAGTGTTTCTACCATTCTTTCATTTATTTTATATTTTGAAAGCCTAGCATAGCCTCACCACCATCATCATCATCATCATCATCATCATCTCGCAGGTTACCTCCGCTTTGTCCCACACGGTCACTCCAACGTTCAGACATATCCCACTAAACCTAGCTTGACTCGAACAAACGAAAATTTTGAGTCGAATAGTATCTCGGGGAAAAATGATGGGTCACATTAGTCACATAGCGACGTTTTCATCCGACAAACACGGTCGAAAACTTGCGGTTGGTGATGTGTTTTATTGGTTATGATTGCATATTGTACCTCGTGAGCTAGGTAAGAATCTCACCAATCCTCCTTCTGATCTATTTTCTTTTATGGTGTCGCTCTATCCCTTTCTGGTAGTGGTCCTCAGTCATCTATGGTCGTTGTTGAGTTAGCTAACCCTGACTGCCAATATGTTTACCACTGTCTACACATATCGGTGGGAAAAGGTGTCCATTCGGCCTTCCATCCCCCTGTTTTGATACTTTTTCAAGGGAGTCATCCCAGCTGTAAGGCCGCTGACTTTAGGTTCATCTCATTCTCAGAGGCACCAAGTGTAAGCTATTTGGCCAATACCTTTATTCGATCAAGATATGGATGGCGAACTCTTTAACTAAAGCTATGTCTTTCTTGTAGTGATCCAACGCATCTACACATTGTCCTCTCATATGCAAAGTAATGGAAGATTTTCAAAGATCATACTATAGCTTGACTGTTAAACCATTATTTGTGTGTACACATTGGGAGAGCTACAATGAAAGTGTCAAAAATATAAAAGAGCAAATCATATAAATAAGAGATGTTGTAATTCACTTGACAAATGATATTGAGGATTTTAAGACTAAAAGTGAGACTGAATTATTGATATTATATGAACTCGGTAGTTTTGAGTTTTTGGTAGGTGTGCTGATATGGTACAGGTTGCTCAATGTTATCAATAAGGTTAGTAAGTATCTTCAATATTCATGTGAATATGAATATTGATATTGTTCTTCATGTTCTGCAAGAACTTGTACTATTTGTTGAAGAATTTAGAAAATCCGTTTATGAAAAGAGCATGGATAAGGCGATAAAAATGGCTTCCAAGCCTAAAATAGAAACATCGTTTTGTAAAAAACGAATTATTTGGAGAAAGAAACAATTCGCTGAAAGCAAAAGTATGAGTGACATTGCACGACCAACGACTAAGGAGAGTTTTCGCGCAGAATATTTTCTTTTTATAATTTAAAAGCTCAGACTTCTATAGATAGCTGATTTGAAGAATTTAAAGATGGATAAACTTTTGAGCTTTTATTTAATTTGAGGAGGTTACAAGGTGTTGATGATGAAAACTTGCTAAAATCTTGTAAGAATCTTTGGAGTTCTTTAACACATACCGGATATTTTGGTGGATGTTGTTGATTATTTAAAGGGATGTATGGATGCTTCTCTAATGTGTACATTGCATGTAAAATCTTGTTGACTATACTAGTGACAATAAAAGTCGAGCATATTAGCTGTGTCATGTAATCAATTGAGAAAGAATTTATTTAACACAAGAATCATGCCAACTTGATTACTACTTTTGCATCTAGAATTGTTTGGTGATGAGCTATATTTAATTAGTTGTTTTGATGCATTTAATAAGTTATTTCTAAACAAAAATTATATTACAAACAAACATTCTCAAAATAATGTGATTTCAATTCGTTGTACGGTTTGAAACTCAAATACTTGTTAAAACTGATTATAATAATCATCTACTAGCTAGTATGATAACGCCGCCACCATTGGATTTGGAAAAGTTTAATCACTTTCCGATATACCAATTGCTTGATTCCATTTTTCTCTTGCACCAGCTCGATCACCCTTGCTTGTGTAATTCTCTTTGAAACAAAAAAAAAAACTGTTTAAGTTCAAAAGATTATAAATGACCTAAAAAGACAATATTTCTGCATGTTTCAAAGTCAGATCCTTCTTTGGGTAACTTTTAGACCCTAAAATAACGTCATTTTAATTACAGATTTTCTTTTATAAATTATAGCAATAGTATTAATGTACAATAATGGTTGAGCATCAAAATAAGTTGATATGAAATGTAGCGACGATACTACTATATAAATCCAAGAGTTTTTTACAAGAATATTACTAAAATAAATCATATTTACATAAATATGACTATTCATTATTATAATGTGGTGTTGTGGTAACTTAAACTCAAAACTTGAATATGAATTACTATGATTTCATTGCCACTCTAGTCATTAGTCATATTTTTGTAAATCGTCTTTATTTTGGCCATATTTATGTAATTATTTCATAAACCAACCGAACATGAAAATTTTTGTCTCGATATAGAGTGGGCTTCGTTCAATATCTTTTAAGAGTTCAAATTTAATCAATTCCAGTGTTTACAAATACTGAAATTGGATAAATCTGTTGAATATGTTGAAATTGATGAAATGCTGACTGAATATTTTATTACGAGTAATAGATTAGAAAAAAAATGTGAAAAATATTTACAATGATCGTCTACATTAATTTCAGTCAATTCATCTAGAAAAGTAACTACAATCTTATTTATTTTTATTATTACACAATTCTTAAAGTTACGTATTTAAAAAAGTTGACAGGTAAGAATGATTAGATGAAATTATGAAAATAATGTTACCAAACATAATTCACAAATGATCTTGTTTTGATTTTTTTGAAAATGGTATGATCTTGTTTGGATGGAGAGCTAAATTTGAATACTTTGCTGAATTCAAATTTAATCAGTTGATTTGAAACATTACAAGAGCCCGTTTGGTGACACTAAAATTGACTGAATTGGTTGATTCTGCTGAAATTTATGAAGTTCTGGCTGAATTGGCTGTATTGGCTGATTCTGCTGATTCATGAAAAAAATATATTTAAAATATTTGTTATTAACAAAATAAATAAATAATTATATGAAAAAATAGCTAAAATGATCCTCTACAGTAACTTCAGCCAATACAGCCAGAAAAGTAACTCTAACCTTACTTTTTCTGCTTATTACAAAATTCAGCGCGTGAAATAAAAAATTACGTATTTGATGAAAAAGCTGACTGATAAGCAAGATAAGACGAAAAGGGGCACCAAACAGGCTCTACATATCATATTTTTTCAATTTAACTATTCAATTCACCATAAGTTTGCGTAGACTTCACCTCCTGATACTCAAAATTTATGTTGTACTTAAACATTTACTTTAATGATAAATTTACCTTTTTCAATCATTATTTAAGTTGTGTAATCAAATTTGTTGTAATCAAAGTAGTCTTTAAATATGTCAATTGACCTAACTTTTTTGCTCTAGATTTTCACATATGAGAGTATATGTTCGGTTCGACTACCCTAGGTTAAAGCTCGTTGTTTCATATCGGTGAGATGATAATAAATTAAGGAGAAAATAATTAAAATACTTCAAACTTTGAAGGGGTGTGAGATAAACACCCTGAATTTTTATATGTAATTTAAATACCCCAAACTTTATATAAAAAGTTATTTTAACATCATGGTTATGTATTATTTCTTTCAAAAATATAAATTTATGCTGTTAAATGCATAATTTAAAATAGCAAATTGAAAACATTAGAATTATAGGTATATAGTGGTGGGTAATACTATTTATTTTACAATGGAAGCTTAGAATGTTAATTGTATCTTTATGAATGCTAAATTATCAAATTATGAAACAAACACAAAAAATTAATATTTTCGAAAGAAATAATACATGATCATGGTGTTAAAATAACTTTTTATATAAATTTTGGGGTATTTAAATTACATATGCAAGTTTGGGGTGCTTATCTCACACCCCATCAAAGTTTGGAGTATTTTAATTATTTTTCCTTAAGGGGTTTTTATAAAATTTATCTTCACAAGATCAATATTGTTAATTTTTGACATTGAACTCGTTTACTCATAAAAGTAACACTAACTTTTTTTTAATCATTTATTAAAATAAAATAAAGTCATATTTTGAGAATAAGATAGCTAATTTTGAATTTACAGTATTTGTCTTCTTACTCTTCTATTGTGATCATTTTTTGTTTTCAAATGTTGCATTTCTCTCCTTTTGCAAACTAGAGGACAATTAAAATGATGATTTATTAACAATTTAAACTATCCAAGGACATTATATATAAATTCAATATTTTTTTATTAATGTGTGCTTAAAAATATTTCCTGAAATAGGTAGGGTTGATACTTTCAATAACATCCACATAGAGATATCTATTCATCTCACAATTAATTAAGTTTATAGTTTGACTTTCATGACCATCAAATTCGACGTTTGGCCGTTAATATCAGATTAACATTGCATCATTATATATTAAATTTTAGTATTCAAATTATTTTCGTGTTGTAAAGAAGATCTTTTTTATATTTAATGGTAAAAAGTAACATAATTGGATTCAAAAGTCAAACATGAACTTAATTTGAGATCGAGGGTAGTAGTAGTTTACATTTAAAATGTCCATTCATATGTGGTAATAATGTTACCTTGGGGGTGAAACTTAATCCAATATTTAATTGTCCCTTATATCTGTCATCTTCAAGAGTAACATTATGGGGCATTGGTTTCATCTCAACAAATCCACGCTCGTTTCCCTCTGCGATTATCCCCTTCAAGTGTACTCTGAAATAATAAAAATAACAAATTGATTATTGAAATTGTGTGTTTCTCACAGCCTCAAAAGAGATTCTTCTTTTTATTTTAGTACATCCAACAAAAGTATACAATCATTTAAAAATTAAAAAACATTGAGTGATTCATAAACCTTCTTTCTTAAAAACGAATTTTTAAAAAAAGGCATGCATTAATTTTAACTATTATATTCCAGTAAATATGACCAACTGAATAAATAATTCTAAATAAATTTCACGGAGAATAATACTAAAATCAATATAGAATTCCAAAATAAAATACTATATTTTTTCTCTAAATAAAGTGCATTATTGTTATACCGGACTAATACATAATGATGCATTTGTTCATAGAACAACAATAATTACACATATTTACAGAAAAATATAATATAACACTCCTATTTTAAAATTTCACAAATTTCTTAATCATATACTACGTATAAGACATCTATATTAGGAAGGATGTAGAATTATATTTTTGTTAGAAGTTAAAACGTAAAAATAATGTTTTAATTACATGGTTTTGCCCACAAATCCATTCGTAAAAACATCATCATGCATGATTTTTAACTTTAGGTGGTAATATTTTTCCAGATCTGCCATTGGTAATTCAAATGTGAATTTCTGATTCCAGCAAATCTCTTTTGGATACCCTGCAAATTCATTTTACAACATTTGAGAGAAATAAAAACAAAAATTATTCAAGGGAAAAATGGAAAACAACTCTTTACGTGAGATATTAAAAGTATATATGTACCTCTCGAAATTTTGCTCTTGTACACTTGTGATCCACATTCAATAATCACATAGTAGTTTCCTTTCCCTATAAATAAAAAGTAATATACAAAAAAATCACACCAATTCAATTTTCATAGATAAATTAATGTTGTAAATAAGTACTCATAATTTTAGAATTGCTATTAGTCCCTAAACAACCAATTAATTTTGTAATAGAGATAATCCTAATATGAGTGATGTGATAAAAAACAAGAATATTGTATATTCAAAATATGTTAAAATATTGCTTCCTCGTTGAATATGCAAATCTTTAATTAAGCTTCCTCGCATAATCTATGGGCGTGTTTGACATAGCGGTTAGCGTATAACAAATTGTGTTAGCAGATTGCTAATAGCGAATTAAATCAACGAATTTGACTAACGAAGTAAGTTGATGGATTGCAAAAAGATGATTTAATTGTTTGATCTTAACAATTAGCAAAAAATGTCACATTTCAGAACACTAACTCAAAACGCTCCTATCAACTGATGTTTCCATTTCAACAGAATTCGTTAAAAAATGCCAAAGTCAAATAGACCTTTACCAAATAATGTTTTCACCTACCGAAAAAGCTGAAATACATCATATCGTCATTTTTTTTTACTAAAACACCATTTTCCAAACACCCTATGTTTGATCTAATTTGTGTTGAATTTAAACTTGCATGATCAAAAGCTACTAACATACATTATTATTTATATCCTATATATAATTTTTGTTCAATATATCGTTTATGTGAAAAAGGGCATTACCAAGATTGTGGCCAATGCCTTCGGCACTAGCAAGAAGTACTTCGAGGATTCCACCCTTCATTTAATTTAAGGGAGAAAATGAACGTCTTCTTCAACACTTATTTAGCATCCATGACTTTAAACTATAATTGACTACAATGTGAATTTTTATGCTTAGTCGATCATAATGGGCCGGAGCTCATTTAAATAAAGCCTTCACATAAACGTTATATATTTTGCAATAAATTTTGCAATAAATTGCATTCTCAATGTATCTGTAACATCTTTTACATATACTACTCGTTGTTCCTCCAACAAAAACTAGTTTTTTGTTTTTTATGGGATGGAGATGTATATTTAACTAATTATCTAATTACCCTCAAATAATCTGTTTTTTAATTTTAACTATCATTATTATTATGACTAATTACACCCAGAATAATTATTATTATGATTATCATCCAGATTTATATTATTATTACGGATTATTATTTATTACAGAGTATTAATTTATGCTTTAATTCGTCAAATATATTTATTAATGTGATAATTCTATCCCCAATGAATCTGATTTAGCAGTCTGATAAGTTGATTCGTGATGCATGCGGTGATTTTCAACATATGACCAATGAAATCAAAGTCGGTTGGATTTTTTTCTTGTTACTGAAATAAAATTTATTTATAAATATATGAGTAATAGATTCTATATTAATTATAATGTCATATTATCACTTAAATGTAAAAGTAGAGTAAAGAATTATAAATAACTTTAGTTTGGATGGACTTGAAACAAATTAAAAGTTAGCCTTAATCCCAAGCTCTTATAATTTTAAGGGACGGCAGGATTATTTTAATAATTTTGTTTTAATCATAGATGTAACTGATTATATCTACTTCAAAAAAAGCGACAGAATAAATATGATGTGATTTGATAGAGAATAAACGATCGAAGTGATATAGTATACAATTATAGAAATGAAACCACAGTTATTTTATTCGGTATTAATTTGAATGGACTTGAAATTAAACAAAGATTAGCCTAAATCCCAAGCTCTTATCCATATATATTTCAAGTCACATTTTGGATTGCATCTTTGGCTCTCGAGGTTTGAGAAACGTGAGAGCAGCCTCTTGCCCCACCGATGCCACAAGCTGCCATATTCACAAATGCACATCATCATTATAATTAAGAAAATGCTAATGAGTAAAACTGATTAAATATGACGAAATATGATTATAAAATTTCAAGAATAAAAAGAATAAAAAGCTAGAAAAAGAATATACGGAATACTTTGGAAATTTCAAGAATATGAAGCTAGTGTACGTAACGATTCCAAAGAATAAATCACATGCAAATATGCCCGCATTTTTTCACACATTCCTCCACGAGGTTGAATCCTCAACTCGAAGGGCTCTTCACATCCCGACCGACAAGGCATATGCTAGTATGTAAACGGTGACTCAGTCAACCTAATGATGGTAGACCTTATATCCGTGCGTACCAAAGATCCAACCCAACACGTAGGAGTTTTAATCTCCATACAACTACCGCTCAACCAACTAGGTTACTCGTGCGGGTCAAATGAAACTATATAGGGACGGAGCTCTTTTTACCTGGCCATTCATGTTAAAAATTTGACTTTTAACAAAACCACGTGATTTATAAGCGGATGGAGTATGAACCTGCAGATAAAAAACAATTATGTAAAATGATATACGTAGTACGTAGTAATTAGAAAGTATGGACAAATTGAGATTTTCTAAAGATTATAAAATAACATTACAGTAATCAGACGATTCCTTACCAAATGTAATAACCAATCGTCAGCTCGAACGTCTCTATGAAACCACATGCTGCAATATTATGAAAAAAATAAAAATAAAAACCAAGCTAATTAATTACTCCCTCCGGTTCTTATTAAACTTTACACTTTGACTTCACATATATTAAGGAAATAAATTTGACTTTACTATGGAGTACACTGTTTGACACTGTTTGGCACTGTTTTGCACTGTTTGGTGTAGATTTGTTTGACAAATAAGGCAAATAAGGAAGTGTAAAGTTTAATATGGGACGACCCAAAAAGGAAAGTGTAAAGTTAATTAAGGACCGGAGGGAGTATATACTACGAGTATATTACATTATTCTATTCAAATCTGAAATCAAAATGCACACTATTAAAAACATGGTGAATAAGCAAATGAATAAATTAAGGGAAATTACCCTAAGTAGTAGTAAATGAGGTTTCAAATTTCAAAATAGGACTACTATGTTTTTATTCCCGAAATAAGAGTTTTTACTGTCATTTATGAAATATATTGTCATAATTAAAAAATAATGTCATCAATTATAATAAATACTGTCATGTTAAATGTATTGTACTGCAACTATTTGATAACAGTCACGCATACAAGATGACAATAAATACCGTCATGTTAGTCCTATTTCGGAAATAAAAACATAATAGTCATATTTTGGAATTTCAAACTTCATCTACTCCTATTTATGGAAATCTCCCATAAATTAAACTAAATCCCTTTGAAATGTGTGCTTACGAGTGATTTAGAGTTGAGGGAGCGATGGTCAAGTCTTTTTTGCGATGAGGATTTGGAATTATATTACTGATCATTAAATCGGATACATACGCCACCGCACACCTGATCATAATCATCAAAGTATACATACATTCTTATATATTTTTAGAAGCTAAGAGAGTTATATAAATACAAAGATAAAAGTCACAAACTTCCAAAATTGTTTCTTGCTCCATATAATAAATCATACCGAGTATTACTATTAGAAGGGAAAATCCTCAAAATAAGAGTAAAAATGTTTTGGAATTCCAAAATATGACTGTCATGTTTTTATTTTCTAAATAAGAGTACCGAGTACGTAATTACCGTCATGTTTACAAAATATTGTCATTCATAAAATATGGTAGCCCTATTTTGAAATTTGAAAACGTTTACTCATATTTTGGGTGGTTTCCCTTATTAGAAATATCACCTCATGCATGTTTGATATATTTTGGTTTTTGTAATACTTAACATATTTCTAAAAGTTTAGTTATAAGTTCGTCAAGACAATTTCTAAAATTTTCTAATTATATGTTTATCAAGACACATAAAAGATGATTATGATGATGATATGTTTGTGTCAAGACATTTTTAGGAGATGCTTAAGAATAAAATACTTTCTTAGCGTTGAGAAATTGCATGCAGTAGCTTTTGAAAAAAGTCAATAATTCTTAAAAAAATAATTTTCAGTCACAACATCTTGTTATATATATCAATCAAAACTAAATAAAATGACAATTTTTAATAAAACAGCTAACACCGTTTTTCTTTAAAATATACCTCTAATTTATTTCATATACAAAACCGGGTTTGGATCAATTTTTTTGCTAATGTTTGTTAATAAGTACCAAGTACTAACTACGAAAGCCATATTGGCATGTTCAAATTCCCGCCAGATTGCCAGAATTACTAGCTAAATTGTCCATCTTGCTGCCCGGAATACATTTTTCAACTTTTTCACCATTTTTTATATTCTCTAAATACAAAGTATATTTTCCCGATATTTACTCATATTAATTCTTAATTGAAGTGTTAAAGAGACTGAATAGATTATGGATATGGGGCATAATAAAATATACTCCCTCCGTCCCTTATAACTTTGACAACTTTTCTTTTTTTGTTGTCCCAAAAACTTTAACACCTCCCCTTTTAATCAATCAATTTGTGACTCTTGTTATTTACGTCTCCTGTTATTCTACGTGCCGGTCAAACTTGGTAATCCTTTTAGGGACGGAGAGAGTGGTAGCTAGCAGGGAACATAGGTCAAATCAAGATATTAAATATAATTAAATTGTTAAATAGGCATCCAATAATTATTAATCGTACAACATTGTTAGATCGATCTCACATACCTATGGAGGGATTGATCATCACATAGTTTGTCTTTTGCTCTAAACCAGAATCTCAAGCTGCACAATACATAAGAATTTTATAATATCTAGAGCTAGCACAGTTAGCACATTTAGGACATCTTTTTTATTACCATTATTTTCTTTTAAAATAGCTAGAACCAAATGCCAATTCTTAAGTATGAGAATAAAATATCGATGCACATATATATTTGTGTGCTTTATCTATGTTTTACTCAGTGTTGAAACCATTTCTTAAATATGAAATCATCATATCATTCATGCCAATTCAAGAAGGATGCAGGAATAATTCTTAAAGTACAAACATTACTATATATCATTCTCTGTTCCATAAAAGTTGCAACAGTTAAACTTTCACGTTTGCCAACGCGCAACTTTGACTGTAATTATATTTATTTACGTATTAGTAAATATTAAAAAAAGTTAATATATTGGAAATTTACATTAAAACAAATTTATTAATATTTTATACATAATATTTTTATTATATACATTATTAGAAAATCGTAGTCAAAGTAAGGTATGTGAATAGTGCAAAAATTCCAATGTTACAATTTTTATGGATATAATTAAAGTCGATCTGACCTTGGAGGTGTCTTGGTATATCGAGTTGCAATTTTGTCAGGATCACAAAACCTTACTTCCACAGGCCAAGGTATGTGTTTCGTCGTCGCCAACTTGTTTCTGTATGTCCTAAAGGTTACATAGACATAAAACCGAATTAGACCATGGAATCAAAACTAAAACAAGATTCGTAAAAAAATAATGGGGATAACATAATCCCCGAGGGCCTCAGGGCCGGCTAAACAATTACTCCCTCCGTCCCGGAATTATCTCATTCTTTCCTTTTTGGTCCGTTCCAAATTTATCTCATCTTTCCTTTTTTGGCAAAGAATTTGTGGTTCACGATCATTCTTACACATTTCTCTTTCCTGTGCATAACTCTCCACCACACATTTCCCACTATCTTAAAACTCGTGCCCAGTCAAATAAGGAGATAATTCCGGGATGAAGGTAGTATAATACAAGTATAAATTGAATTTTGATCACAAATGGGTGGGAAAAGAGTGGATTCGAATACAGAGACTAAACCATCGTTGCACCCTCTTCCTACTAACCGAACTACACCCCCAGCAAAAACAGATTTCGTACTAGCTATAAATTCAACTTTTTAACGAGATATACAAAGTAATTAAGGCAATCATTAAACGGAGAACCTGGGAAGCCGAGGATCAATGAGTCGTCTTTGGCGTATCTCATCAATTGATAATAACTGCAAATTGAAGAGACGTATATATTATGTCCAATGTTAGTTCTCAATCATATATTTAACACCATAAATTTTTTATATTTTATCAATCGCAGGCCTCGAAGACTTGAAAATGGAAATGATCATAGTCTATATGAGGTCCAAATCATTCAAAATTATCAATCTAAGATCTAAATATCATCATATGTTTATCTCTAAATAAATCATGTATGAGAGTAGCCTCTATGGAGAGGAGTACGTGACCCTCGATAGTGGGTTTTTGGACATTGTTTGATGAATTAAAAGTTTTTTTTGCCAACATATAAATGCTTAACCTTAGTACCCATATTCCAATATATTTGTATCATTAAATGTTACATATAGTTCAATAAATAAGTAATTACTTTAAAGTAAAATTGTTTTTAAATTCTAAATAAGGTTATTTTTTTATTATCAAAATAGGATAATTATCATCATCTTTTGATCTGACATAGAAATATTTTTCAAGGTTGATCATAAATAAAATTTGTTGCATAAATTATTTTTCATATAATTTTCAAAAAAAAGTGAAATTATGTGATTGATATGGAATTAAAGCGTTAATAAAGTAAAAATAAATTATAACCATCAAAATGTTACCAAATATGATATGAAACAAACTTAATGAGACGGACGAAAAAGGTAAAATGGGACAAAAAACTTAATGAGACGGACGAAAAAGGTAAAAATGGACAAATAAAATGTGTATTGTCACGCAATAGGACCGACTGTATAAAAAATTCTTAATAAACGATTTTTAATTTATCTCTAACATAGTACTCCCTCCGTCCCATTAGAAGGTTCGCGCTTTCCTTTTTTGAACGTCCCGTTAAAAGGTTTTCATTTTCATTTTAGTAAACAATTAACAATCTTAAGTGACGAATTAATCATTAAATATTAAAAATAATACATTCATAACATCACAGTTATAAATACTAACTACATTATAATATATACCTATTAAATTACTACATCTGTTCCACTAAGATTGAGACAAGAGAACGTAGCACGATTATTAAGAAAAATGAATTTGTGTGGTTGATATTAAATAGATAAAGTAAGAAGAAAGTATAAATGATTTAAAACCACATACTACCTCCGTCCCGAAATAATTGACATGGTTTGACCTTCACACAGATTAAGAAAATGTTAGCGAGACGGTGAGGGTATTTCGCAAAATATACTCGAAGTAGTTTACGGCATCGAGACAGAGATAGTAACATATACCAAATATACTACATTACCGTAATTATATTTTTTGCGTTCAAAATCGAACGTACTAATAAAACAACTTCACGATTAACTGCATTTATTTTAAACCTGACTGACTTAATCAGGCCAATCACACAACCAGCTCCAGACTACCAGTCCCAAACTCCCAAAGTATAGTCTTTGCTGCTGTGATAATCGAGTAGAAGACGATAATTTATAAGCCTGTTTGAGAGGAGAAAGATCCTTCATATCCGGTGTGGGATATCAAAGAATGTAGAAGAGCACAGTTTTTTTACAAAAGTTAAACTAAAATTCGGCCGCTTAGGTTGAGGAAGGGTCTTGAACTCCCGTATAATCCTTCAAACCCCATCCACTATACCAACTAACAAGCAAAGGTCGTACTTAGAACTGGAAACTTAGATCTTAAGCCTAAACTTTTATTAAAACAAAAATTTAAAACTAAAACATATTGTGTAACTTTTTTTGAACAAAAAACTTATTCTGTAATTTAATAATTTTAGATCTTGGGTTTCCTTTACTCTAATATTTTAAATACATTCATTTTTATTTTTATAAAAAACTTACAAAGAACTCTATAATAAACTTAATAATTTTAATTTGTGGTTGATATTGTCAGGTTGAACACCAAACATATCATATACCATTCTATGATTCTAGATATTTTAAAATAATCTTCTCATTCACCTATCTCATTAGGAACATGACGAGACGAAATAAATATCTATTATTTACATAAAAGATTATGTAATGGTATCATTTCTATTCAACAATATCTCACGGGCTAGTCATAAAAGGCAAAACGTTCAACATTTGTTCTCGATTTATCCGTGAAAATTTTGAAAAATAGATTTCTTTGAGTTTTTAGCGATGATATCCGTGACAAACTCATACGCTAATTTTTGTTAGGGATTTTTGTCAAATCCCTTACAAGATTGTTAAGGAAATTATCCCTAACTAATATCTGTGATAAATCCAATGTTTTTTGTGGTGTTGGTAAGGTAGTCGGGTAGGGGATCGAGGGGGTGTGAATATGTAACAAAAATATGTACACATAATATATGTGTGTGCATGGGCATAATTAGGGGGCAACCTAGGTCCCGCCCCAAAGCAATTTTAAAATGTGTCTAAAATATTAGTCAAAAATAATTAGTGCTAATTTTTTATGTATATTACCGTATCTGGATCCGGTACACTGGGCATTAGTGCATATTGGTGCTCGATTTCTCCATCTTCTTTCTGCATGCCAATTCAAACTTATTTCAGAAATTAAAATTAAATAGTTGCCTAAAATTATTTTAATGAGGACGGATATTAAGGAATGGTGATTATGTCTTCAACCAGCAATTTACAAAAATATTTACAAGTCTACTAGTCTAAGATAAAAAGGAATTATTACTCATTTTGGTTAAAATTAGTTATTAGTTACTCCGTATTAGAAACAAATCAAATTTGATTTACCTTTTTTAATTAGTTGCTTACCAATTTAACATATGTTTTGTGCGTGTTTCGTGTTAGATTTTATTCACTCATATTCATGAGCATGTGAGCTTAGAAGATACGAAGTATATAGAGAACTTAGGGTCTTTTCTTAAAACACGGGAAAAGTGAACATGGAAGGCAAAAACACGAAAAAAATATGGGATTTCTAAGAATACGAAATTCGGAAACACATGTTCCGAAATATTTTTTTTACTTTTTTTAATCCATTCAGAAGCACATGTTCTGAAACATCTTTTTTATACTTTTTTTTAATCCATCCGGAAGATGCTTTTCCAAATCAACTTTCTTTAATTTTTTGTTATCCTATTCGGATCATGAAGTTCCAAATGCTACTTTAATTTTTATTTTTATTTTAGTCATACAACTTAAATTGATATAAACCTATTTTTAATTAATAAATAAATTGGACCCAATTTCCCAAATGTGATGTCCGAATTAGTGGGGTTGGCTTTTTTATTCATTTGGATTTCCAACTTCCGAATTGGAAGTGGCATTTTAAAAAAATAATCAGCTCTCATTCGGAATAGGAAGTTCCGAATCAAAATGTCAGGCCACCCAATTCATTCGGAAATGTGTATTCGGAATCCCGTGTTTTAGTACCTAAAAGGAACTCCCGTCTTTTTGCATCGCTTGTTCAAAACCCCGTCTTTTTGTCATTCCCTCGAGAACATAACAAGGTCCTAGGGTACAAACAAAGAGGAAAACCCTAAAGCTATGAAAAATATGACTACTAAACTAACATTTTAAAAATACGTACGTATACTTATTTAGGGCAAGATCTTTTGGTTTCATGTGAATCAATAGCTTGACCTCATCGATTTTAGGATGTTTTTACATAGATTGAGATTTTCTTTTTGGTCTAATATATAGTTTGTTTAAGTTTAGTGGAACTAATCTGAAAGCGACTAGTGTGAATGTGTGATAGATGTCTGTTGTACGTGTATTTTATGATAATCGAAGTCTGATCTGATCTAATCTGTTTAAATATAGTTTGTTGTGTTTTAGGATCGGAAGACTTAAACAAATGCAACTAAAAAGCATTTAGTCACGCTAAAAAGTCGTGTGGTATTAATTAAAATGACATTAATAGAGATAATTTAACTACAGCATTAACACGCACGTTACCTGAAAGGAAGCGGTCAATGAGAAGACAAGTTTACCATTCTGCGTTGCATCAACCCTCCTGCTCGAAAACCTTTTCCCATCACGCGCACGGATAACCTCATACGCTACTGGCACTTCAAAACCAATACGTCCCAACATTTTAGATGATAAAATACGGAGTAAAACTCAAAGTAAATGTTATGGGTGATTTTTTTCATTCTATTTTTAGATTGAATCACTATAAGAATTTTTTTTGAAAGAAAATCACTATAAGGATTTAAAAAGCCAATTGTATTTTTTATAAGTATTCTTATTAATCTATTATTTATTTATTTTAAAAATACGTAGTATGTAGTATGAGATTGATAAAAAGACCGTAAACTCACAATTGAACATTAGTAAAGCAAACGTTTATAAATAACAAATTTATAATGTCTGAAGTAACGTGCAGAAGCTCAGCTCATTAATAACAAATTAATGTTTTCAAAAAATAAATATATGATTTTAAATCAAATTAAGTATAAAATACGGAGTATATGGATTGGTAAGAATATTTGAGGAAAATAAAATGTGTACTCCGTATAAAAGTTCATTAGTGTTGGCTAAGCAACTGCTTTTTGTAAGTAGTTTGTACGGAGTATTTTGTAACTCTCCCACACCGGAAAGTTCAAAGCAATTTCCCCTCTCCATGCATTATATAATGCGTACCTTCATATATATTTCGACTAAATGTAAATGTGTAAATATCTAATGCTCCGTATGTACTTCGTATTATTTTCATTCTGTTGGAAGGTTTTCATACAAGACAATATGGTTATTTAGGCTTGGAACGTTTTCAGACCCGGATCAGATCTGTGCCTTAAATAGATTAGCTTAGATTTGCGAAATAATTGTAATGAAATAATTGTAATATGTATGTAATATAATGGTTTTAGTATTGATATAATTGTAGTCATTCGAGTGATGTATTATAAGTGTACTATTTTTAATATTTAATGATTTAGGATGTTTTTAGTTGGCCTGTAATTCCTTCCAAACCAGTTCAGACCGGACCAGATTTGGATAATTACAAAAATAAAAACAATTCAGACCAAACTAGCAAATTATAGTCCAAGTAAAAACATCCTTAGTAGTCATTTAAAATTATAAATTACTGGTATTTCTTAAAAAAAAAAATAAGAACCTTAGAAAACGTTTTGACAAAACAGAATTACAAAAATTACCCTTCATAACCGAACTGCATAATGTAGTCAATTGTTTCCAAATAGAATACCACAAATCAATGGTCCCAAATAGACAATTCAAATTAAATTACAATATATCTGACTAATTACTACTTTTATAGTTATATGATTTAAGACTTGTAATTTCACAATGAAGATCAATCTTTTAGTCCGTGTCATGCATATACCGAATCAATACTTCAACATTTCATTATTCTACATTTAACTAAGGCGAAGTAAATACTTAACGCTTACAGTTTTGCTACCTATACTCACATTTATACTTACCCTTATACTCACAACACGTGAGAAGTCTTTTTTGTCCGTGAACCTCATTCACAGACAAACAAGACATGTTTTATTTGTGAACAAGGTTCACAAGCAAAAAATAAGCTTTCACACAGACGGTGGGTATAATGGATTAAGGATGGGTATTAAAATGAGTACAAATAGGGTTTTTCCCTAGATTAGTCTTAATAGAATAAGTGAATAAGGGCGATCGTAATATTATTATTATTATACTTTTTGAATAATATTATTATATGGAGTATTAACAAAGAAAATTATACTCCGTACTAAACAACTCACAATCAACATCTCCCGCGATCAAGAAGTTGGCATTCAAACTGTGTACAATCATGAGGGGATCAACCGTTCTATGGGCTGCAACTAAAGCCTGTAATATATGCAAACAATTCTTTGAACATTATTTAAGGATTTGATTTAACTACAAAATATGCATCCACCCAGCTTACGATTAAACTGAATTATAAAATATTATGCGTCTCATCAATTGTTTAGGGGTATGATTTGATATTATAATTCTTAGCCTCCTAAAAGTTTCAAGAGTGCAACCACTAAAAGTTTTTAGATAAAAGATTTTCAATGAAATAATTATAAAAAAGTTGGAAACATTTAAGAAATTGAAATACAACACATGAACGTATAGTACAAGTATCCTAAAGTATCTGATATAGAAACGTTTCTGATATGTCGATATGACACCCTAATCAAGTACTCCGTATATGTGTATGCTGCATAAAATTCATACCTACATTTTGGAATTGTATAATACACTGAACAAAAAACAATCTAGTCTAGATTAAAACTGGCAGTTTCAAAAGTCATGTAATAAATGCGTAATCACGTTACAACAGAAATTATAGAAATTATGAAATTATTATGTTAACAAACGTGGCTGAATTTCACACCTTATTTAATTACGTAGTACTGTATAATTTTCAACGCTCTAAGTTTATTTAATTTACTACACCAAATCACCAATCATCGAGGAGGTAGATGAAATTAACCATAAAAGCATAAACAAACAAAATATTGTGGGAGATTTTAAAGACTATCTATAAATAATACTCATAATAAATAGAAAAACATGTACCTGTCCAATAAACTGACCACCAAACACTCTACCTGTAAACGCTGGAGCTTCCGGCAATGTAACACCTTGAAATATACTTTCCTATAGAAAACATTAGTTACAAAGGGAAAAAAAAGAGTGGGCAAGATGTAAATTGAACTATAATTCCAATCTGACAGATAAAGAGTGGGTCTCTGTCCCCGTTACTTGCAGAGGTCCTATGCATTTTTAACGTAGTAACCTCTCATCGCAGTTGCCGGGATTCGAACCCGAGACCTAACCCTTGTGGCACTCCCTTGCTACCAGTTGAGCTACGCCCACCGGTACTTGTAACATGGAAGGGGTGATTGAGGGTGGTCTAAGTCTAGTTTGAGGTACCTGGTTTTGGCTCCAATCAAGTTCTGAGTCCAAAGTCCAAACCTCGATCTTCTAGTTTTTGGTTTGGATTTTGGACCCTGGTTTTAGTCCTTGTTTGGACTAAAACCCGAACCCAGAATGGGCAATCCTTTTTTGGAGGAATTCCAATCAGTTTGGTTTGGAATAATATCAATATTATTAGTGAAATTATGTGAAACGTACAATGTGAAAGTTGCCAAAATTCACAAAAAATTCTATTTGTACACACAATTTGTATAAAAAGTGTACAGATTTTGTGTACAATAACAATTGCTGATTCATGCACGCAGTACAAAAACAAGGGATATGATAACACACTCTTATAGGTTGAAGGTTCAATATTTGTTGGAGATTACAATTTGGGCTTGAGTTGAATTGTGGTAGCATGCACCAATGTTTATGAGGCAGCACCAAACATGTTAGCTGGACCCACCAAAGAAAAAAATGGCATTACATGTAAGGTGATGTAACATGTATTTTCATGCAAATTGGAGACTGGTAAATATGAGTTAACGTGTATCTTCATGCAAATTGGAGACTGGTAAATATGAGTTAACGTGTATCTTCATGCAAATTGGAGACTGGTAAATATGAGTTAACGTGTATCTTCATGCAAATTGGAGACTGGTAAATATGAGTTAAATATTTGATACATAATAAATCTAAAAATGGAACAAAAAAGAGGAATTTATTCAAGGAGTCAAACGTCCCACTTTTGTGACTCCATTTCATCACCAATTTTTATACTGGAATATAATCACTCACTTTATGTGGTGTGAATTGGTGCACTTAAAGTGGAATTTTTTTAAAATCACATTACTCCACTTTAAGTGGTGGATATTAAATAAATTGGCATGGATGGAGAATATATATATCCTAGATTTCTAGTACTAGTAATTAAATAAGTTGAACGTTTTAAGAAAGGAAATTTATCGACCTGAAAGTTGAGTTTATTATCAATTTTGGACCTAATAGATATTTGCTCTCATTAAGGGATCTAGAAGATGGTAATCTATCACTACAAGACCTATTTATTGGATCTGCGTGGCGCCATGTCAAGTTCCGTTAAAAAAAATAACTGTGTTAATTCATTAGGTCTCGTAGTGATTGATTACCATCTTTTAGGTCCCTTAATGAGAGCAAATATCTTTTAGGACCAAAATTGATAGTAAACTCAACTTTCGGGTCTTAAATTGATAAATAACTGAGAACTCTCACGTCCAAAATGTTTCATAGGAAAATATTCCAAAGAAAAAGTATCCTTACTTTAGTCAGTGAAATTACTTCACCGTGCTGATCTGATGACGAAATACCTGAGAACATTATTGATACATAAGTTTTCACCAAGTGTAGTAGATTGTGTGTGAAAATTAACATTACGCAGGTTTGAAAATGTAGGATAATAAAATAATTAGAAAAATTCCCGGAATAAGACTAAAACAGTTTAAAAATTCCAAAATAGAACTGTCATACAGAGTATTTTTTATTCACAAAATAGGAGTAATTGTTATCAAATTTAGAAAATACTGCCATATTTTAAGTCTGGTACTGTCAAAACATGACAATAATTAGTCCTATTTTGGGAATAAAAACATGTCAGTCCTATTTTAGAATTTTCAAACCTTTTTAATCCTATTTCGGCTAATATTCTCTGAAATAATTTGAATGAAATATAATTGACCTTTTAAGATAAAATTTAGAATCTTAACAATAAGTTGAAACAATAAATTAAAAGAGAACTGGGTAAACATACTGCTCACCATGACCAAAATAATCATGACGTTTGAGGTGGAATTCATCTGGGCTTTCATCGATCACATGCCGGAAATCGCCACATGCGTCAGCCTGCAAATTAAAATCATGATCATTAGGGATCGATAGTTAATGACAATTGTAATAATAAAAAAGTTTTGGAATTCGAAAATAGGAGTATATGTTTTTTATTCTTCGAATATGATTAAATTTCTGTCAAGTTTGAGATTACTAGGCTTTTAAATATGACATTTTTTTTCAAACTTGGCTGATTACTCCTATTAAATAAATCAAAAACATGATACTCCTATTTTGGAATTTCAAAACGTTTTTGCTCCTATTTAGAGTAATTTCTATAATAAAAATAAAATCATCTTAAAATGGCTAATTACTAGACCTCTCCATCCCAAATGAAGTAAATTCCAAGCCCAGCGACCCCTTGACCGATCACGTACTCACCACAATCTAATTAAGATGAAAAGACACACATTGATTTAAATCAGATTAAATCAAATTAATAAGATGAAAAATATATGATAGTATATAGTTTTATTTTGAAAAGAGAAGGAATATAATAATGAATATTACCATAATTCATAAACGTTACAATCTTAGCGATCTTCTCAAGAAAGGACCGCTCTAATCCTTGAAGTAACGGGAGACTTGTCAAAAAATCCACCACTGTAATATAAGTAGTTTTGTAAATTCTAATCAATACCAAGTAAACTAATTACTCCGTAGATTATAAAGCGAATGAATTTCAATAATATCACAAAAATTCAAGCTCAGAATGGACATATATAAAATGGTGGAGAAATTAAACTTGCCTGAAAGAGCTTCCATTCCAAGCGTTTTGATAGGGAGTGTACTTGCACTACAAAAAACAGGACATTTATCCCAAATTGTATAACAAGAATAAGAAAAGCGCGCGTATGAGAGAATATATTGTCATATATCTATATAAGGAGTATTATATACGAAGTCTATATTCTCCTCCATCCCATAAAACGTTATTGTATTGACCGTTCTTAGTCAATGATGCATGGTCAAATTTGACTAATAATATTTTGAAAATAAAATCATTTCAAATTTGAAAATTATATGAAATTTTTTTTTTATTAATGTACCATTCTAAAAATGTATAAATTATAATTAAATCTCACAATATTATAACTATAACCATTGCCCAAACTATATTTACATTAATCAAGAAAAGTAAAATTCACCAAATACTATGGGTCGGAGGAGATTTATTTATTTTATATTTATATATTATACTCCCTCTGTTCCCAAAAATACTTCTCACTTTCCTTTTTGGGTTGTTCCCAAAAATACTTCTCACTTTCCCATTTGAGACAATTTGTGTGGCTCACGTTCATTTTACCTTTTTCTTACACAATCACAACCATACATTTCCACTTTATTTCACTTTCTTAATAAGCGTGTCGAAGTCAAACCGAGAAGAATTTTTAGGAACGGAGGGAGTATTTATTTATTATTATATAGTATACGTAGTAGTACAATAGTACTCCGTAATTCCGTATATAGTACCAGAATGGGCGGGAAGTCGAAGCGGTCAATGGCCGGACTATTTATAAAATTATTTAATTAATTATCTTCTCAACATTAATAGTCTTCGTGTCCTTTGGTCTTTCAAGGCACCCATTCATATCTTCTCAACTCTTGAATATCCAAAACTCATAGAACGTACTTACTACTTAATACGAGAGCTTTTTATTGTTACAAGTATAAAAACAAATTAAATAGATGGACATCACATTAATTATAATAATGGCTGAAGTCCATGACTAAAAAGCTCGGAAAACTAAAGGCAATGGGCAATAATTTTATCATTGACTGTTGGAATACCGGATTAATGACAATGAATTTTGTTGACTATTTTGATTAACGGATCACATTAGTGGTTTAAAAAAGTTTTCGTAAAATGATCGTTTTGAATCGGCTGATAATTTGTTAATGACTTTTGAGGAGATCAACTTTTTTGTTAATGTTAGGAACCGAACTTCATAAGCCATCTAAAAATCTCTGTTTTTTCCTCAAAGATTCTCAATTACAGTTATAAACCTATTCCGTATAAAATTTTATCAGAACTGAGATCATCAAGTCAAAGAGATAAACCCAACTATAAGAAACATATCTTATGACATCTATATATGATCTTTACTATTTTGTTGGTGGCTTGCAGACGTGTTAGGTCTTAACTTTACCAATTACCAGTAAGGCGTGGAAAAATCAGAGAAGAAGAGGTATATGTGGCCAGCAGGGACGGATCTAGGATTTCGAGTCAAAGGAGGAGAAAATTTTCTTTAGTGTAGGAGATAAAAAATTCATTAGTGTAGCGGGGTGAATTTTTTTCTAATGTAACGGGCGAATTTTTTTAAGGCTCTGTGACTATTTTTATTCAAAAAAATTTCATTAATACATACGTGACGACATTTAAAACTATATATTACATTCTAAGTTTAGACAATGACAAAATAACTTTAGATTTATAATTGGAGTGTTCTAGAAAAAAGTATTGATACATTAAAGCATAAGAAATGACAAATAAATGGAAAATAATACAAAAATAAAAAAGGATATATAACATTTTATTTAAATATAAAGAGTTTATAAGGTTCACATTCACGAGTACTTTTAAAAAAAATTCAACATTGTTTAACTACATGAGTATTATAGAAATAAAGAATTGATTTTTGAATTACAATTTTTGTGTATCATTGAAGGTGTTCATTAGGCACAAGCAGTTCTTTTAATATTACAATAGTATGTATGATATTATTCTTTTTAGAATAACATTATATTGATAATTCATATATATAGTGCATATTATAATTGTATTAATGCTAAAATAATTAAATTTTATTATCTATGCAATAAAGTCTTTTTAGAATGTAAGAAGTAAATGAATAGTGTAATTCAATGTCAATAAACATTTATAATTTGGATTACTTCACATGATCTAAAAACTTTGTAGCTAGAGTATCTGGTATTTAATATCGTTTGATATATATTTTTCAAAATTGTTTACTAGTTATCGAATAAAGATAATTAAACATTACAAAACTAAGAATTTTTAGATAATAAGTATCCTAAATCTCAAATAATGAGTTCTTCTAGTGTTTATTTAAGTTATGTAAATTATTTTAGATGTTCCTTTTATAAATCTCCGATTAAGTATTACATTATGTAAGACTATGTATCAATTTTAAAAACTAAAAGTTAAGGGGGCAATGTTCAACAAAAAAATTAAAGGGACGAATCTAATTAAAGTATCAAAATTTTACAAAAACATTACATATATATGAAGAAGTATAATTCAAGGGGGCGGTCGCACCCCTGCGCCCCCCTTAAATCCATCCCTGTGTGTGGGTGAAACAGAATAATTCAAAAGAGCATTTACGTGAAGAACAAGTATACCTGGGACTCTTGGGAGGTAAAACAGATGTGAAATATCGTGAAGGAAAAGGCTAGCCACAGTGCTGTTCTTTTTTCTCTTTTGCGGAAGATATGGAAGTGACGAACAGGAAGCAGACGAGGAGGCATCGTTGCTTCGGAGATATAAAGGGGCGTCCATCATCACTTGTAAGGAGTAACTTTACCGAGTAATTTAGTGTTTGGACAAGTATACCACTGGCCAAGTCTCAACAACTTTTAATTAAATGTTTAATTCATAATAAATTTGAAAAAAATTCAAAAAATCGTAGAAAAATAATTAAAAAATTTATAAAATATTAATAAAATAAATAATTAACAAAATATTTTTTTTTTAATTTTTTATTTTTAAAAAAATTAATAAAAAATAGTAAAACTCCATAAAAAAATTAAAAAAATATGGATGCCTTTCCCACCGCTTGTACTACCTCCCTGCACCACCACCTCCGGGCGGTGAAAAAAAAATCGATTTTTCCTAAAAACTATCTTTTTTCTGAAAATACAAAAAACATGACATATTTCTCCTTGCGAATGCCAACATTTTCATTGTATTCTGTCATAAATATGGCATTCGTAATGAACTTGGCATTTTTTCCCTGGTGACTGGAGGTGGTGGTGCTAAGGCGGCAGAGGCGGCGGTGAATTTTATTTTATTTTTTTGAGTTTTTTATTTTTTTAAAAAAAAAATATTTTTTTATTTTTTGAAAAATAAATCAATAAATCATTATTATCGAATAAGTCATAATTAACTAGGTTGGGATCAAATAAGTCATATTTTAGAATTAACTAGGTTAGGGATATTAAGGGTATAAAAAATTAATGTTTACTCCTATTAAAGGAAGTTTTAAGTTTTACTCCTATTTGTGCAATTATGTTTATATTTACTCCTATATTGGGCAATTTCTATTTTAAAATATCAATGGATTTTAAAATTCAATGAGAGTCTACAAGATTGTGGTGGATTGTTTTTTATATAGAAATCCATTAAAATTCGTGCAAATAAGTAACAGAAATCCACGAAATGTTTGAGGACACCCTTATTTTCGTGGATTCCACAAAAATTCAATTTTGTTTATTGGCTTTTCTAGTTTTGACTGTTTGGGATAAAAAGTCAAATGAAAAGGCTAATTAACCAAACATCCTATTAGCTGAATCATTTCGTCAAAAAGCCAAATGATAGTCAAACCAGCTAAAAATGACTGATAGGCTCCTAACCAAACACCCCCAATGTATAATTCTAAAATATATTCGATTTGATATACGGGGTATTATGATCCCGTAACTTATCATGAGTAAAAAGTTATCACTTATAAAATAATCGACATCGTTTTAATTTGAAATTAGTAATTTTTGATGTGTCGTTTTGATTATATTCTTAAATTTAAAAATAAATCACCTTATTCGCTCATTAGTTATGCGAGGATTATAATACATGACATATATATCAATACAATAACTGAATATGACTCATGAAGCTACCATTTATCTCAGTTACATATGAAATATTTAACATAATTAAATTTCAGCCCCTCTCACACGTTTTTCTGGCTCCGTCACTGGATATAGGCATGTATTTTCCTTGTGGTGCACTTGGGGATTGAGAACGGGTCCATGGAGGACTTGGGGTAGCGGGGTACCCGATTAAGGTCGTAACATGTCGTTTAGGGTGACTCTTCTTTTTTAGGGTGACCCAAAAACGACGATGATGATGATTCCTCAAACGACATGATCGATGATGATGATTATTCCTCAAAAGACTTATAAATAGGCATTATGCCTTTACATGATTAAGTGCTATTCTAACTAAAATGCTCAATTAAATATAAAGATAACATTAAATTGGATTGCTCTTCTAATTAACTAAAACCCTGAATTAAATATAAAGATAACATCAAACTGGACTCCTTTTATAATTAACTACAACCCTAAATTAAATATAAAGACAACGTCAAACTGGACTCCTCTTCTAATTAACTAAAATCCTAAAAATGCATTTGTAACATCACTCCGTCCCTCGACACTAAGCTTGTCTCCAAACTCATATCCTGGCTAAGCAGCGACAAAATTCTCAATGGCTCCCAAGTGGCCTTATATAGTGTGGGGCCATTGAACTAATAGTTCCATTGATAGCGTTGGCATACAACTCCAAGCCTGGGAAGCCATCTTCTTCTTTCTCATCTTCTTTCTCGATTATGAAAAGCTTGTTGCATTGGTGATTCGTCATCCACTGTTCATCGCAATTATAACATAGCATTTCTGCTCGTCTTTCAGCCATTTCATCCTTCGTGAGTTGCTTAACAATTGGATTTCCTACCCTTTTTGTCATGAGCGCCTGACTAAGTTGTGTCGAGTTGCGTTGTTTCATATCTGCTGCAGTACCTAAGGCTTTGGCAGGTGCAAGCATTAGTGCTTGCCTTGCTTCCAATTTCCGTGCAAGGTTCATTGCAAAACCTAGGTTGTCTGGTGATGACACCAAGACCCGTCTATAATATAAAAAATATAGGTCGTTGCGTGCGAATCTCGCGTCAATCAAAAAGAAGGAAAATGAAGTGTAAATGATAATGCTAAAAAAGTGAAGTGTATAGTGATAAGTGGGATGGGGATTGTCAAACCACAGGGGTGATGTGTAAGTGAGTGTAACGACCGAATAGGCAAATGTGTCACTAAAGTTGAGCAAATGAGACTAAATCGCAAACATGATCAAGATCGATGCTAAAGGGGCCAAACTATGAATGAAAGATGTAAAGGTATATCGGGGACGTGTTCTGAACTCACATTGCAATTGAAAGTCTGGCAAAATAGTATTGAAACTTTATTACAAGAAAAAGCATGCACAACGTACGGTTCCTCCGTCACTCTCGTGGTCATAGGATCGGTCAATAAATGGCCTTGGCCACTCTCATGGTCCAAATTCGTCTACCGACACTAACGAAAATAATCTAAAGCAAAGAGGTCCCCTAGACCCGTCACTCTCATGGTGGTGTTTAGGTGTGTGTGAAAAGAGCAAATGAATATCCAATTCTCATTGGAATATACCGCAAATAATTAAATACAAGATTTCTCAAAATTGCATTAATTAATTTCATTGAGACATTTTCACAAACACATTTCAAGCAATAAAATTCAATACTAATCACCTAACGATTCAATCACATAAATAAACTTCAAAAAGCCCCCTAACCTATCTAACTACTCATGCATTGAATAAAACTAGACTAAATACCCGTGCGATGCACGAGTATCTAGAATAGAATAACAACTTCTTTAACATTATGTTATATTACGATGATACGTGATATATAATTTTTTGAAATAAAAAAAGACAATAGAGTTTATATGTTGTAAATTTTATTATATAATTGTAGTTTGCAAGAAAAGAAAATTTTGAATCGGATGGAAAGTTTCCAAGTAAAATTAAAGAGAAAGATGATAGGGTGTAACAATAAACTCTATGAGATAATGATATAACATGATGTTACAACTATTAGTGAGTCCCATGAAACTTTATAAAACACATTAAACATATATATGTTGACAATGTACAAAAAGTATCATAAATTTTGAAAAACTTATTTATAAACCATATTATTAATGATGTTGATAGCACAACTTTTGTCATCACATAAAAGAATTTTCAACTCACTTCTTGAGGTGACACTTGATGTGGCAACGTAAAATCGATCACGCGTAAAAACATATTTTGGATAGTATATGCTCACTTGTTATTGAGTTTGTCTTTACTAATACTTTTTTCAAATATAATCTTCACCTCCAAAATAAAATTACACAACCAAGTAATAATCATGCGAGTCTCATTACATAAGTCATATGACTGACAATTAATTTATAATCAAATAATGTTTCTCATTATCATAATAGGAACACCAGTTTTTAGTCTCAATTTATGGTTCAATACTTCAATACCCTAGTGCATTGATGGTATTCAAACACTCTTGAGTGTGCACTTCATCGAATTCAATACTAATGTTGGCTTCAAGTGAACATGTGTTGTCAAAACTAAAAAATGTCTTAATAAACATATGAAATCTTGATAAACATATGACAGACCGGTCATATTTTAATAAACAATAGAGACACCAGAAGAGGTAATTAAATCTTGATATCCTTATAAAATCAATTAACTACAAAATTATAGCAATTAACTAAAATGGTACCAATAAATCTATCAGTTTAATATATTTCTAAGATTAAAACAACTGAGCATACTCCATATATGTTCATTATTTTGGTATTGTTTAATCGCAAACTCTCCTCATAATGAGCACTTTATCTTATTGCATATGGAATAAAAAGTTCCCATGCTTTAAATTCTTAACAATTACTCCCTCCGTCCCGCTAACAATGGGACAAAAGAGAGTGACACGCAAATTAATAAAAAATGAATTATGTGGTTGATATTGAATTGATAAAGTAAGAATAAAGTAAAAATGATTTAATTTAGAGCCACACAAACTTTACCAAATTTGGTATGAGACAATCTTATTGGGACGGACCGATAAGGTAAAATGAGACAATCATAGCAAGACGGAGGTAGTATATTTTAGTCATTATTATTCATTCTTGATTAATATATTATTAATTTAGTAATATTCAGGTCAAACCCCCTATTTCTATCTTCATAATTTAGTTATATTATTATATTATTAATTTACTAATTTCTGTAATTATAATTTTTTAACTTTAGAAAATTCCTTGGGACATTTTAATGCTATATATGACAATATATACGTACCTAACATATGGTAATACACACATAGTTACATACTAATAACTAAATCATACATTTCCTTTGTTTCAATGGCAGATTATTTGAATATTTACTTTCCTTTTATTTTCAAATGCATTGGGAGGGAAAATTGGAGTCAAAATTGTGTCTAACACCGTTACTTTCCTTTTAAAGATATACTCCCTTCGTCCCATAAAATTGTTTTTGCATTGACTTGGATCGGAATTTAAGAAAGTGAGAATAAAGTTGAAATGTATGGTTGCGGTTGTGTAAGAAAAAAGTAACTGAATTTGAGCCACACAAAACTTTCCAAAACAGGAAATGAGAACTATTTTTTTGAGACGACCCAAAAAGGAAACCAGGAACTATTTTGCGGGACGGAGGGAGTATAAAGATACTCCGTAATATATAGCCAAATAAAGAAAAAGGGAATTTTGTGGCACTATATTTAAGTAAGAACCGTTAATTATTATAGAGTAATATTCTACCATGTTTAATGCATTTATTAGTCAAAATTGGGTGGATCAAATAATACTTTCTTTCAATCGGTCCAAAAAATGCTCCATTAATGTACAAATTTTTCAAGAAACTCATACGGGAGTATATATTTCAAGACACACAAAAATACATTTATATCCTCCATTTGGAGCAATTTTGCCTCCAAAACATGTAACAACTTTGCTACTACTTAAACCCACTCCGTTCCATTCAAATGTTCTCTTTTTTTGGGAACATCTCATCTAAAGATTCTCATTTTTATTTTAGGAAACATTTAGTACTCGTAAATGAAAATTTAATCATCAAATATTAAAAGTAATGAGTCGGTAACATCATAGTTATCATCAATGACCTCATTATCTTATTTCACAAAGGGTACTCAAATTACCATATTTAATTATTGTCTAAATAACAGTGTCATTGTGCAATTGAAGCCTTTAAACGGGACATATGTAGTATAAAGTGTTGGAATAAATCCATGAATACTTTAATCTTCATATTGAAATTATCTGGAGAATTAACTGAGCGGAAGCGTACCTGACTCCATGGGAGATGGCCTTTAGAGATCCGGGAGACGGAGGCTAGGGTTTGTGTCTTCTAGTTGATACACACCCTCGGGATTATCTCTCTAGCGATGGGATGCAGAAAGACAGAATGGCGTGTACAACTAGGGACCATAACCCCTTATTTATAGAGTGCTTAACCCTAATCAGCCCATCATTGATTAGGTCAAGCCCATGGGTCTCTACACATTTGGGCCCTATACCTTATTAGATAACTTATTAGCCCACTTAAATTAATATCCATAGGACCACTAATTTTTGGGCCTAAATATAAGATAGCATATAACTTACAATTAAACCCGATAAATAATATATTGTGAATATTACATGTAGTATAAGTCCAATAATCTAACAATCTCCCACTTGGACGACATACACATGTATACACAATCCTTAGAATTGTATGTTTACTTTAGGAGCTCCAAATTTTTGCTATCAAACTGTAGTCATCCTTAATCAATCCGGTCCATTAATTATATCAACATAGGACCAAAGAAGTCTTTGCTATATTTGAATAACTAGACCCATCAATGATCACATATATTAATATAATAAACGACATGGATCAAGTATAGGTGTGTAGCGTGGAAATAACATATAGTGTGGTCTGGAATAGAATGTCTATTTCCAACTGGTCCACCCTGAGATCAATAATATAACTGTAAGAGTACATAAAAATTTAAACTTTATTTCTGCAGAAAATAACATTAAAACTTGAGTTAACCAAACATAGAAACATTACAAACTCCCACTAAAACTCATAATCCTCAACTGATTTGACACCCATTTGAGCAACATGCTCATGAAACAATTTGGGTGATAATCCTTTAGTGAGCGGATCCGCAATCATGGAGTTTGTGCTAATGTGCTCTATAGATAACTTTCCTTCTTGTACTCGTTCCTTAACAGCCTTAAATTTGACCCCAATGTGTTTTGCCTTGGTCAAACTACTGTTGTTCTTAGCATAAAGGACTGCTGATCTATTGTCACACAATAGCTTAAGTGGTCTTTCAATGCTGTCCACTATGCGTAGTCCACTAACAAAATCTCGCAGCCATAATGCCTGATTGGATGCCTCATAACATGCTATAAACTCTGCTTCCATGGTGGAAGTAGCTGTAAGAGTCTGCTTGATACTCCTCCAGGAGATAGCTCCTCCAGCTAGAATGTAGATGTAGCCTGAAGTGGATCTCAAGCTATCTTGACATCCAGCAAAATCAGAGTCGGTATACCCAATGATCTCAAGCTGATCCGATCTCCGATATGTGAGCATATATTCCTTTGTTCTCTGTAAATACCGCATGACCCTTTTGGCTGCTTTCCAATGGTCCAATCCCGGATTGCTCAAATATCTGCCTAACATCCCAACAATGTATGCCAAATCAGGCCTTGTACAAACCTGGGCATACATCAAACTTCCTACAGCCGAAGCATAAGGAATGTTCCTCATTTCTTTAGATTCAAAACCATTCTTAGGGCACTGCATGAGACTAAACTTGTCTCCCTTAGAAACTGGGGTATCTCCTGGTTTGCAGTCTTGCATACCAAACCTTTTGAGAACCTTATCGATATAGCTCTTTTGTGAGAGTCCAAGAACGCCTTTGGAGCGATCTCGGTGAATTTGAATTCCTAATACAAAAGAAGCCTCACCAAGAACTTTCCATGGCTTGACGAAAGTTGATTGGATCATCTTCCGCAAAACCAACATCTGATTCTTGTTCTTGGAGGAAGACAATTATTTCTTCCACCAATTCCCAATTTTCCTCATGTTCTAGGAGAAATACAATATAATCATCCGGAATTGCGCTTCTCCTCTCTCGAGTGGATCTCCTTAATGGCACCTCAGATTCTTGAGGTTGTTGAGTTTGATCCTCATTAACAAATTCAGGTACTTGATTGGGGATGTTTTCGAGATTGTCATGAACTGGAGTTGTTTCTTGAACATCATTAGGAATAAACATATCTTGATCATGTTCAATGACAACTGAAGGAAGAGTAACATGTTCTTCCTCAAAGACAAAATCTCTAACTTTATCTCCCCACCCCCCAAACTCAATATCCTCAAAGAACCGGGCATTACCCGTCTCAAAAATAGTCCTGGTAGTGGGATTATAAAATTTATACCCCCTTGACCTCTCAGAGTATCCTACAAAATAGCTACTAACTGTTCTTGAGTCCAGTTTCTTTTCATTTGGCCTATAAGGCCTTGCCTCAGCTGGACAACCCCAAACATGGAAATGATTTATACTGGGTTTCTTTCCAGTCCAAATTTCATAAGGGGTTTTAGTTGTAGCTTTAGTGGGAACTCTGTTAAGTATGTAAGCTGCAGTTTTCAGTGCCTCTCCCCAGAGTGAATCGGGTAAAGTAGTATGACAAATCATACTCCTAACCATGTCCTTCAATGTACGGTTTCGTCTCTCAGCAACACCATTCATGCTAGGAGTTCCTGGCATGGTGTACTGAGGAACAATTCCACACTCCTCTAGGTATTTAGCAAATGGCCCTGGACGTTGTTCACCGGAACCATCATATCTACCATAGTATTCACCACCACGGTCAGATCTAACGGTTTTTATTCTTTTGCCTAATTGATTTTCAACTTCGGCCTTATAAGATTTGAACACGTCTATTGATTGGGACTTTTCATGAATGAGATAAAGGTAACCATAACGAGAGTAATCATCTATGAATGTGATAAAATATGTTTGGCCATTTCTACATGGTGTAGGGAATGGTCCACAAATGTCCGTATATATCAATTCTAATAGATCTGAAGCTCTCTCGGCACCTAACCTCCGTTTGTTCGTTTGTTTTCCCTTAACGCACTCAACACAAATATCAGAATTTGAGGAGTCAAGAGAATCAAGAATTCCATCTGACACAAGTCTCTGAATTCTTTCTTTAGAAATATGTCCTAGACGTTTGTGCCAAAGTGAAAATGAATTCTCATTGGTTAATTTTCTTTTAGTACCACGAGTACTTACATGCAAGGTTTCATTATATGAGGTATTTATATCAAGTGAATATAGATTATCATAAACTGATAAAAGACCAGTACCAATAAGTTTTGAATCTTGAAATAGACTGAACTGACTATTTCCAAATGAACAAGAATAACCAAATTTGTCCAATGCAGAAATAGAAATTAAATTCCGCCTAAATGACGGCACAACAAATGTCTCTTTCAAATCCAAATAAAAACCAGTCTTTAATAATAATCTAAAAACACCGATAGCCTCAACTTCAACCCGCTTGCCATCACCGACATAGATGTATCTTTCACCATCAATTGGTTTTCGGCAGCTCAGGCAACCCTGCATAGATACACTTATGTGAGTAGTAGTACCGGAATCTACCCACCAAGTGTCTTTTGGTACCGAAATTAAATTAACCTCAGAACAAACAAGAGCAAGAGACATACCCTTTTTCGCACGCCAAACATGGTACTTAGTGCAGTTCTTTTTCTTGTGATTAGTCCCTTTGCAAAAGAAGCATCCAGATTCCTTAGTTTCTTCCTTAGTTTCCTTGTGATGCTTCCTGGGAGGCCCCGAATTTGCAGCTTCCTTAATTTTTCTTTTATTGCTGCCCTTAGAGGTAGATGCCAAATGAGCACTTTCTGTCTTATCTTGCTTTATTCTCTCTTCCTCTTGAACACAATGAGAAATGAGCTCATTGAGAGACCATTTCTCCTTAATGCAGTTGTAACTGACTTTAAATTGATTAAATTGAGAAGGAAGAGAGATCAAAACTAAATACACAAGCAATTCCTCAGGTAAAATAAGCTTTAGTGCACTTAGTTTTGAAGCAATGTGAGACATTTCCAAAATGTACTCCCTTATGTTGCCTTTGCCTTTATACTTCATGAAAACAAGAGTGCTTAAAAGAGTACTAGTTTCCGCCTTTTCGTTTTTAGCAAAACGCTTTTCAAGTTCGGCAAGGAACGATTTGGCATCAGCCTCATCAGCCATTGTGCCCCTGAATGATTCTGGAATTGCACGTTTCATGATCATTAGACTCATGCGGTTTGAGCGTTCCCACCTCTCCATCTCCCTCTTTTCATCAAGGGTAGATGTGTCCTTAAGAGCGGCGGGTTTCTCAGTCCGAAGTGCAAGGTCTAGATCCATGCAGCCGAGAACGATCATAACGTTCTCTTTCCATTCCTTAAAATTCGTGCCGTTAAGCACTGGAATGCTATTAATATTAGCAGATATTGTAGCAGCAGAATTATTGACTGAAAGAGAACAAAAAAAAAATATAAATGATATGCTCTATGTACTGAAATTAATTTGATAATTAATTTTGAATTTAAATATTAGCAATCCCCATCACAAGATACCTAACGCAACATCTAATCTTGTCTTTGGACATAAATTAGACTTGCAAATGGTACTCTTGGCGTAATAATAAAATTTTGATAATAAAATCATGTCAAATACTAAGTCTTTCTTTGGACCGACTTAATATTCACACGAAAAACTTCATAATCATCACAAATTTTATTATCACAAATGTACTTAAATTTCGGCCAAATAATAACCTTCCTTTGGGCCGATTATTATCCGCATGAAATAAGAAAGTACACAATCATCTTAATATATGAGTTAATTAATTTCAACAAGAGAGGCTACTTTGGCAGCATGTTGTATCAATTAACTAACTCAAATATTAGACATGCTAATATTAACTCGAAAATCTGAAAAATAAAATTTGGAAAAATTTTTCTGAATCACATGCAAATGTATTATGTATAACGATAATTTGTAAAACCCATACCCAATTGATGTGCGATCACAAAATGGGGTTTATACATCCCATAACACACAATACATATTTTTCAAGCCACAAATTACAACGACCAAAAATAATATATTCCGGTAATGCAAAATCATGCATTTTTAATAAAACTGATATTGGCCGTAATTACATATAAGTATTTAATTACCAAAACTGATAATAATTACATATATGTACTTAATTATCAAAGTCATATGATTTAATTATTGTGGTTAAACATATAATATTCCGCAACTTCTTAAATTACCGAAGAACTAAAACCATTACAAAGCCCATGCATCCTAAAACGTTCCAGCGAATAGTGATTAGGAAAGTTATTCCTTCCCTAGGTTTTGTAGCAGCCGCATTACGGCCAATACAAAAAATTGAATTCATATCCAAATTCAATACTCAAAACAGCATAAGTCTGTAGATACAAAATTAAAAAAAAAACATACTTTGATCCTCAATTCAGAATGATTGCCTAGTGGACTGACAATTCAAAACCACACTTTGATCCTTAATTGATTTGATATTAAATTGATCATTGTATTGTACGCAAAAAATCGATCGACCATCATCATATGCAAAAAATTGAATCATATACGATAATACGATATAATTTATGATGTCTACTAATCTGACATCAATTGTACGATTAAATTCCAATAGCGACATCATTTAATTATACATAATTATATAACGATAGATCAAGATCTAGAAATATCTGGATCTATGATACTGATTCCAAATAATTCAATATGAAGGAGGCTCTGATACCAATTGTTGGAATAAATCCATGAATACTTTAATCTTCATATTGAAATTATCTGAAGAATTAACTGAGCGGAAGCGTACCTGACTCCATGGGAGATGGCCTTTAGAGATCCGGGAGACGGAGGCTAGGGTTTGTGTCTTCTAGTTGATACACACCCTCGGGATTATCTCTCTAGCGATGGGATGCAGAAAGACAGAATGGCGTGTACAACTAGGGACCATAACCTCTTATTTATAGAGTGCTTAACCCTAATCAGCCCATCATTGATCAGGTCAAGCCCATGGGTCTCTACACATTTGGGCCCTATACCTTATTAGATAACTTATTAGCCCACTTAAATTAATATCCATAGGACCACTAATTTTTGGGCCTAAATATAAGATAGCATATAACTTACAATTAAACCCGATAAATAATATATTGTGAATATTACATGTAGTATAAGTCCAATAATCTAACATAAAGATATAAATATAAAAATATTTTATATGGGTTTTATTTGAGTTTATTAATTAACACGTATGTCATAATTACTAAAGAAATAATTACATAAATATGACCAAAATAAAGATGATTTACAAAAATATGACTAATGACTAGAGTAGTAATGAAATCATAGTAATTTATGTTCAAGTTTTGAGTTTAAGTTAACACAACACCACATTGTAGTAATGAATAGTCATATTTATGTAAATATGACTTATTTTAGTAATATTCTAGTAAAAAACCCATTACTAAAATTACCGTGTAATAGTTAATACGTGAGAAGGCATTGGTGAAAAATTTACTCCATGGTAATAAATGTATTTACGTCATAATCAATTTATATGGAGTACTCTAATAATTTGGAGTTATATTTGTATTAATCAATGTAAAAAAGGAGAGAACTTAATTGGGTTATTAATTGAGTGAGATTGATTTCACACATAACAATTCAAAATTGTGTTTTCATTTGGCGAGAATTTTTCCTTCAATAGTAGTACCAACACTGCTACTTTATATTATATAAAGATTACAAGATAAACATAAAAGTGCATAAATAAAATTAAAGACTAGAACTTTGAATTTAACTAAAGTAGAAGATGTAGAAAAATATCACCTAGATAGATCATAGATGAGAAACAATCTATTGAAGTGCAAGAGGAAAGCTTGAATCTTGAAAGATAGGTCTCCACAAATCTACCCTAGAATCTAGAGAGAAGAAATGTAAAAACCCTAACTAAAATATACGAAGTAAAATCCATCTAAAATGTGTCTTCTCTCATGTCCTCCCCAAACTGATCAGCAAGGCTTGAATTTATAGTCTGAATTTTGGGCTTGGCAAAAGACTATTAAGGGTAGAGTCCTGAATATTAAAACGGAAGAGGCTAGGGGAAAGTTTGGTCTTTTTCTCGCCCAAATCAGATTAGGGCAGCCCGGCCCAATTCTTGTCCTGCGTAGGCCTCATCCGAACGCAGCAGCAGCGACTTCATCTTCTCCATTGATCGCGCACGGCTTCAGCTGCGGATTCCACGACTCGCCAGCGACGAGATGATGAAGGGGACGGTCGCTACCTGGGTTCTGTCTCGGGTCTCCTTCTAAGAGCGGCTTCTTCTCCAAATTGAGGGATGTCGGCGTGTTGAAAGGGACGGTAAGAGACGGTGGTGATGACTTGGACTCCGGCGACGGTGATGGCGTGGATTCCGGCGGAGGCTACTTCCTTCTTCTGTGCTCGATTTCCTGCAGGGCTGGTTGTTCATTGCTGCTTCTGTTTTGGAGGAACGGGAAAGGGAACGTCGTCCCTGTTCTTCGTTCCCTTCTGCTTCTTTGTTTTGCCAGATCTTGTTGGAGATGCGGGGGCTGATTTGTTTGACCGGGTCAGCTCTAGGTTGACCCGGGATTGACTTTTTGTGTTCTAGGTCCTCCATTAACGCCCAAGATGCTCCTAAATGTCTAAAATCTCTATCTCTATATCTCTATATATACAAACCAGAGTGGAAACTCAGGCAAGTTTCCCGCCTAAAGTCACAGATTGGGTCGGGTCTGAGGCAATGGGTTTGGATATTTAGCCAAGAAAATAGTACTGCTTAGTACATGGGGAAGCCAGGATGAATAGACAGACGTACTCCGTACAATTGACCGATGAAATGTCCGACCTTAGTTCGTAGTAACTAAGAAAGTAGGGATATGTCAAATCCCACATTTATTGTTTTAGATCTCAGATTTTTGAAATGATTCGGCTTATTGTCCAAGGAATAAATGTAAATTCAAACCGTCAACACATCAATTCACTTCGGCTCCATTATCGCTGCCTAACCAAGAGGGAAACTCCACCCTACGCTAAAGTGGCCTCACCACTTTCGATGACGGGGCCTAGCCTCCAATTCGATACCAGTGATGGTGAACCCCGGACGATTGAAAGGAGAAACCTTAGGGTTGGTGCATGTGGACAGTGTATTGTGACCAGATCCAAGAGGCTGTGAGGTCGGACTGATTTCTACTACGTCGGGAAACGTCTGGTCAGAGGAATAATATTTTTTTATAAAAACTGTAGAACATATAAGAAAAGTTATAGAACTTTTATGAGAGTTTAAATTCAGAGAAATGTTTGGGGAATGTGAACATACCTTGTGAATGGTCTTATGGAAGCTATTTCCCTATTCAAATATATTGAGCAGGACAGTTCAAATCTAGATACTCAAAATGAAGATTATCAACGGAAAATTGTACATGCCAATTCTTATCGGCCCAGTTAAATTTAACCCAGCCGAACACCTTAAATTAAAACTTACCCAACAACCCAAACCTAACCCTTTTACCCAGCAGCCTAATCATTTAACCATCAACCTCTTAACCGACCAACATTTCTTCTTCTTCTTCTTCGTTTAGCGATACGGTCGCTCTTCTGTCTATGCCGATTAATGTCTCATTAAGTCTTACCATCCCTCTCCATACATACTTGATACTACACACTCAGTCTCTGAGTATGGCAATTGTCGCCTTTAATGAGAAGACATCGATGTTTACAGCGTCGGTCTAGTTGATTTGTTACCCGGTGTTATTATTCTTCGACCATAGCGTTTGGCTACAACGGCTGAGTGATAATCATGGATCTCACACCAAGCATGTTGTTTCGTCAATTTGGTATATCCTATCATGTCCCACTGCATGTATTACATTTTCTGTATAATAACTTTAAATATTAAAATAGATTCAAATCTGTATAACAACTTAAAATATTAAAATTAATATGGAGTAACATTTTTTAGCATGGGAGGTAAAAGTAAAAGATACCCATTATGAACATTGAGGTGATTACCTATACCTCAATTAATTAATGGTATAACTTTAATCTATTAATCTTGTATCTGTTTTTTGTTAAATCTTAAGCACGGTTTTTAGAATGGATGTTCACAGAATGGCTGTCATTTGCTTTATTTAAATATGTTTAGTTTAGAACATTTAACTTAATAAACAATAAGATGGTTGTATATTTTGAAAACATTTTGTGTATTCATCATATAAAATAAAATATTCATCCATCTGTTTTTGTGAAAAAAATATTGAATGAAACGATACGAATTATTACCTTCTTTGTTTATGAGAGTTCCAATACTTTATTAGTTTCTTTGTTTCTTTGTTTTCCTAAATTGGTTGTAGTACGAATTAAAAGAAGTCAAGGTTTACTCCGTATTATATATATGGGGATGAGTTTATATATCATTATGATGTCTGTCTCCTTTATCATTAAAGGAATGATGATCTCTATATATGGGAATGAGTTTGTTGCCTTCTCGACAATGTGCTAATGTTCTTTGTACGTTGTTTATTTGTCTCATCCTATTGAAGATTATAGTTATTTTCATTTACCTTCGTATTAGACATGTAACAAAGTCCATATGCTTGCACATGCATGCACATGTTGGACATCCTTACGTAGAATTGTAGAAAGTACATGGGTACCACATAGAACATGCAAGCACATGCAAGGTTCTTTCCTCTCACCTAGGACTACTACTCCTTGTAAAGCATATATACATGCACATATCTTCTGTAATACATTAAGAGAGATTCAAATAATATTTCTCCAGAATACTCTCACTTTTCAATTAATATACATCTTCATATTTATCAATTATTGTTATTTTTATCATGGTATCAGAGCCAAATTCCTGAAAATAGTATATTTCCAAACACTCCTTTTCTCCAAATTTTCTATCCTCTTATCAAACAATGGCGGTCGATGATGAGACCAAAGGTGATAGTCAAAAGTCCGAAAGCTTAGTAATTGATTCTATGTCACCTTATTTCATTCAGTCCGGAGATCAGCCCGGAGATGTGTTCGTCACCTCAATTCTTCGTGACGGCAACTACGGTGATTGGCTCGATGAGATGAGCAACACCCTTTATGCAAAAAATAAGTTTGGCTTCGTGAATGGTGATATTCCGATGCCAAAATCGGATTCACCATATCTCCCGCATTGGCAACGAGCAAATGCAATGGTGAAAGCTTGGTTAAACAGTAGCATGGACGTTGAACTTAGGCAAAGTGTGAAGTTCAAAACAGCCCGTGAGATATGGGTAGACTTGAAAGAGCGATATGATAAAGAGAGTGCACCTCGAGCTTATGAACTCCGATGTATCCTTGGTTCTATCCGACAAGAAGGTCAGTCAATATCGGCCTACTTTAGCTGGCTACGTAGTGTTTGGGATGAGATGGTCTCCATCAACTCTCAACCAAAATGCTCCTGTCAAGGTTGCACTTGCAACATCTCTAAGCAAATGACGGACTCTCGCGATAGAGATCGGCTTTACGATTTTTTTATGGGGCTAGATGATGCTTACGGGCAACTAAAAAGTCAAATACTCGCCACTAGACTGGTTCCCACCCTCACTGCTGCATACCACCTCGTCTCAGAAAATGAACATCACCGGTCCATTGCATCCTCCCGTAAGCCAGGCACCGACGGCGTGGCTTTCTTCACACGACCGAAGAAGGAAATTATCCCAAACCGACGTACAAACCCAAAAGAGGCCAGAACATGCTCCTATTGTGGAAAGATAAATCATACGTATGAAACATGTTTCATGCGGCTGAGATATCCATCCAATTGGAATCTCAAGTCTAAAGAAAATAAAATAATAAGAGGAAATCATGAACCCACTATCCCTTATCAACGGCCGAACGTGACTCAAGAGAAATTCAGGCAATTCCCAACACGTGTTGCACACGTGGACAGCCAGCAAAAATCTGAGTTTGGACTATCTAATGACCAGTTGCAGCGATTGGCCAACTTCATGAAGCAAGAAATAAACGACCCATCACACGCCCAATCTTCTTCTGGTACCCAGATTAAAATGGCAGGTACATTATCAAGGCGTTCTTGGATAATAGACTCTGGAGCAAGTGAACATATCATTTGTAATAATGATGGTCTCGTTGATATTCACACACATACTGTAATATCATCCGTCAAAATTCCAAATGGTGATACGGCTCATGTCCAAGCTATTGGGAGTTTGGATCTATTCAAAGGATTTCGTCTCTGATGAGTTTTATACATTCCGAAATTTCAGTGCAATTTGCTCTCAGTTAATCGCCTAATAAGTGATTTTAACTGCACACTCACATTTTTTAATGATTTGTGTATCTTACAGGACTTACTCTCGAGGAAGCTGATTGGAGTGGACCGATGCCGTGACGGTCTATATTATTTGGAATCACCGAGCGTTGAGGGGTTGGCAATGTCAGTTTCCGCTAATCTTAATTTATGGCATCAACGTTTGAGGCATGCTTCAGACAAGCAATTGCATCATATTGGTTTTCTTCAAGGTTTAGGACGGAGCAATAATTTCTGTGATTCTTGCATACGAGCTAAGCAGACTCGTCTACCCTTTCCTATTAGTTCAATTAAAACAAATCGTTGTTTTGAATTAATACATTGTGATATTTGGGGAGGATATCGATGTGATTCAATTTCTGGTGCACGTTATTTTTTAACCATAGTGGACGATTTCTCTAGAGCTGTGTGGGTCTATTTAATAAAAAATAAATCTGATGTTCCCCAAATTTTGATTCAATTTTTCAACATGGTGTGTACCCAATTTGAGAAAAAGATTAAACGCATACGGGCCGACAATGGTGCAGAATTTCAAACTAATACTTTGTTTGAATATTATAATCAAAATGGGATTTTGTTAGAAACATCTTGTACGGACACACCGCAACAAAATGGGATTGTTGAGCGTAAACACAGACACATATTAGAGGTAGCTCGAGCTCTTCGATTCGAGTCTGGCTTACCTGTTGACTTTTGGGGGGAGTGCATTCTCACAGCAGTCCACATCATTAATAGACTACCGTCATCCCCAATTTTGAATAAAAGCTCTTTTGAAATATTATTTGGAAAATTACCAAATTATGATCATTTGCGGGTATTTGGATGTTTGGTATATGCTCATAATAATAAGCAGAAAGATAAATTTGGAGAAAGGGGGAGTCCTTGCATTTTTATTGGGTACCCAAATGGACAAAAGGCTTTTCGGGTATTTGATTTGCAAAAACATACTACATATAGCTCTCGGGACGTAACATTTTTTGAAGAAATTTTTCCGTTCAAAATAGAGCTGAACGAAGAAGCTGATTTGGCGATCAAAATTGAACGGGTCTACAATAACATTGTGAGATCAGGGATAGTACTTGCAGATTGCAAAAATATTTCCCCTGCTTTGAAAACAATTCATGTGTCCACTAGACCCTCAAGGATAGATGCATCTGCCGATCACCAAAATATCCCACTAGAGGACAAAATCAGCCCATCTCCTATGCATGAGGTCAATAATGAAGGCTTACACTCAAAACAGCCTACCATGGGTGCAGCTTCATCCGAAGAAAACGTCACTTCCCAGCTGGCCAGACATGCCGTATCAGATGGCGAA